GAGTGTCCTGGTGCATGGCGATTGTGGAATTTGAGGATGTGACCACTCTCTTCGGGGAATCGCCTCTTAACCAGTGGTCGGAATCGTTTGGTGCGAGTGCCGTGTCGATGTAGGTTACCTCTTGTTGGTCTGCGTCCCTGTTGAAGGAGTTTCAGGACCTCGAAAGGTCTTGTTTATGGTGTATGCGAAGTGGGTATGTTGCGTTTGGTGAATTGCGGTGTTTTGCCAAATCGGGTTTCCTAGTGGTTCCGGATTGGGGAATCGCCGGTGTAACGTTGCTCCTGCGCGAGGGCATACACAGAGCATATTCAGCCCTCATAGCATATGGAAAGTCGGAGCACCACGCTTTGAAACAAATGATGATATCGCTTACCAAGTGATGACCGTGATTGTGCCTTGGAAGGGATCAAGGTGAAAGTTAATGTTCCTTCACCGCACCGCTGTGCAAAAATGACTGAGTATAACCCATACTTCTAATGCATCACTTGGCACAAAAGATAGCTAAATATGAAGCTTGAAATGCTCGGAAATGGAGGATTCAAGGACGGGCAATGACTTTGAGAAGCATACACTGAGCCATCTCTAGTCTAGCTCTGTGAATAAGTTAGAACCTTTTTATTTTATAGGGACCGCCACAGCAATACCTCCTCCTCCTCCCCTGCACCTCCCCATCCTCAAAGGACCCTTGCGGCCGATTCGATGGGCATTTACCACTCTATGTTTCTCACTATCAAACAGGAAACACCATAATTTCCTTGTCAATGATGCTGCCCGTTCAAATTTTAAAAACTGGTTCTATCCAACTTAATTTGGGAGCCATGTCGTTGCAGTAGAAGGTTGGAGACACTACCCTCATGGACGTGATTCAACCATATATTTATGGATTGACACCACCATACCGCCCTGCCAAGTGAATCCGTTACAATTATAAGAGCAATACAAACTGTCTAATTCTAAATAATATGTTTTGCTGAAACGGGAACGGAAAGAGCCACAATCACTGGTTGAACATTTCAAGTTTTTCAGTGAAAAAACTAGTGAAAAATGTTTTGAATTTTACAGCTATTTTTCAGTGAAAAACCAAATGAAAAACTTGAAACTTCTTCATGATTTTCTTGAACTTCAAAACTTTTTCAGCACTTTTTCAAAACTTTTTCACAAAGTTCAAAAAAATCACAAAAAAGATTCAAGTTTTTCACCTACTTTTCGGGCGAAAATTTGTTGTAAAATTCAAAACATTTTTCACCAAAATTTTCACCAAAAAACTTGAAATGTTCAACCAGTGAATCAGCAGCCCTTTCCGAAACAAAAAATTGCTGTGCTATCAGCATTTTGTGAGATGGCTGCTCAAAGCCTCTCTTTCAGCACCGCAATTCAAAAGCGAAGAAGGAAAAACATTTCCATATAGCTGAAAGGCTCGCTGAAAGAACTATTTTCAGCGGCCCTTTCATCTATATGAGAATGAATAACTTTTTGTGAATTCTGAAAGCGCTGCTGAAAGAATAACAATCAGCCAACCCCAGGGTGTACCCTGAGGTGCAGCTTGCACCTGCGGCTGCACCTTGGGGTCATGTCATTGGCCCGGGTTTTTTTTGGCCAGGTTTTATATATTCAAAATATCTACTGCGAGCTAATATACAGTGTACATACCATCTAATCCAGAGGTGAGGGCGTCTTGAGATTGTAGACCTTGATGGGCTTGAGACTGGAGACTTCTTGAGACCGTTGTTGAGTTTTGACTTGGAGTGCTTGGCAATCTTGAGGACGTTGAAGGCTGAATAGAACAGCGTGCGAGATCTGAAAAGAGATGTAGACTAGTGAGAGAAAAGCAATGAAACACTTAGTTACTCACACGATACAATCACTGAACCAGCACTGTATTACACCTTGAGCGACATGTACATTAGTGCCGTTCAAAGTATCCCTTTTTAGCTCCTGTTTGCGCTCCTGTTTGCGCTCCTGGTTCGTTTCCTGTTTGCTTCCAGGAGAACAACCAGTAGACAAAAAGGGATCGAGTAGGGAAGACTTTGCAACCAGGAGATACATGTGTCCTTTTTGCAAAGTTGTCCCTACTTGGCCCTTTTTGCGTTTTCCTGCTCGGTTTCCTACTCAACCCCAATCAATCTCCGCTTCGGCACACCCTGCCTTTAAGCCGATGCTCCGAGAGTTCCTATTCTCTCGCCGCACGGCACACTTCATGGATTGTGCACCCTAACTTTTTGACCTACTGCTCCGTATTCTCTTCAGAATTGAGTCAGAACATTGATGTATGCCAAGCTATGCCGAGACCCAGTCCGAGTTCGATAACACGATACCCCGAAACCCCGCAATTTAGCCTCCCGCAGGGTAGTAGGGAACACATTGCATCTATGACTCTCTGTTCGCCTTTGACCGAAGGCGGCCACCACTGCACTGTGAGGGACACACACATGCGGAGTAGTGGTGGTGCGTGAGCCGCCTGATGTCACTGAGCTGAGTTTGAACTTGTCGAGAGGTCGCCGACACATGCCGAAGTGTCGCTTCAGGTAGGAACACTCTCCTACTTACTTCCTGGTTCAAAAATCCCAGCCCTTGCTACGATGCGGCGGTTTCAAGACTAGCAAAGAGGGGACCACGTGCCAGGTGAGCTGCTCCACAATTTCTGGAATGTGAGCTAAGTGGTAGGCTCGTGACCATCCGCTTCGACATCACGTGGCTGCGCTAATCACGTTGCGAAGCAGCTGGGAGCTCTGGTCATCGTTTTGAGTGGGCTCGCCAAATCAGTGCTGACACTTAGAATTTGAGAGTGCCAAAGTGTCAAAAAAAGTGTCAAAAGTGCCTTAGTGAAAGTGCAATTGTTTTCAATTCTAAGCTGAATGAGCCCAACTTGTTTTTCGGACTTGGGTGAGAAGTACTGGTCATCGTCTGCGCATGGACCAGTTGGCGATGTCAAGCGATGTTCACCAAATCTGAAAATATAAGTTACTCTCCTTCATCTTGAAATCTGAAAATAATGATGTTTCTCTATGTCAATTTTTGCACTTTTTCTCAAGAAGGGGCCGATGACGGGATGATGCGAAGTCACTGATGATGGAGAGATTTACACGGAGAGATTCACTCGGTGAGATTCACGGAACGGACAGTATATTGACTACACAAACGACCCGCCGTGGTGAGCCTCGGCTCTACCTCAGTCTTGTATTAGACAGAGGCGTGGTATTGAAATGTAAACATTGAAGGCGTACAATCCTAAGTCCCACCTCACATTTGGCAGGTCCACCAAAAATCACGACCAGATGTTCCAGTCGTTCTAGGAAACTTTTTGGTCCCTTTGCTCGTCTCGTGATCAACAGTGCTGACTAAGAACGGCTGGTTGCGAGTCTAGCTAAGTAGTTACAGCACCAATGAAGCATGACCTTTCGTGCATGTACTGGAGGTTAATACTTGAAGGCAGAATTCAACTTCTCCCACAGTAACGTCGTTACATGGTGATTTGATAATTCAACTTACCGTGGATTGACGAATTCAACTTATGTCGATACCCATAAAGATCAAATTCAACTTTGAGTTAATCTTGTTTCTTGATCCTTAGAGAGCTTGCGCGAAAGCCGCACGAGCCGCATGCGGCTTTTTTGCATTGCGCAGAGCCGCAGGGGTTGTTTGAATTATTATGTTAAAAAATGCCATTTTGGAGTTGAAAACTGGTCTGCAATGTCCGGAATCTGTATTTTGTGGACGCCGTGGTGGCCCAAGCGTGGGAAAGCTAACATTTGACTGCATCGATGCTGCTTGATTTCCACTCCGCCTCGCCACTCAGGTTTTTATGATGTCAGTGACGTCATGTCTATAGTGGGTTGACGGTGTTTGGTTCACTCGACAACATACCAAATGCCCCAGACGGCTACTGCAGTGCAAAATTATACAAATTCTATTCATATGCATGTGTTACAGGCCACCAAAGCAAAGTTTCCCCGTGCGGCACTGCGCAACGCAAAAAAGCCTCACGCGGCTCGTGCGGCTTTTGCGCAAGCTCTCTAATTCTGGACATCCATTTGTTACCTGTTCCCATGCACCCAAGTGCCTCCTCAATCTCCAACATGCAACTTACAATAGAACAATTTTCGCTGCTCAAAACTTTGATTGCATGCCCAGCGCCCAATTAATATCAATTGCAACTGGGGATTACAACCCAAGAAAAATTGATGCTCAGGGTGATTACTGCCGTTTGCTTAATTCCGTGAAATCGCGAAAAAGTTTCGCGGGCGGCCATGATCGCCGGCGGACGATGCCGGATGGTGCCGTGCACCTGGGATACTCGGGAAAGGATTCCAACTTGGATTTGTAAAAAAATCTCGTAGAAGCATTCACATTGTCGCTGACTCCCAAATGGGACAGATTTGAATTTTTTGAACTTCGGCATTGTCTGCCGGCAATCACGTGAGGCAGCGAAACTTTTTCGCGTTTTCACGGAATTAAGCAAACAGCAGTAATACACCACTCGGTTCGCTTTTAAAATTTAGAAATCTTGTACTACAGTTACAGTTGAGATGTTGCTATTTGCATGCACTGCTTTGCATGTATAAGCCTTCAAATGTCCCGCGTTCAAGTTATGATGCCATATTAGTAAAGTTCAAACTACCTTGAAAAAGTTATGAAAGTGTCAAGGCATCAGAGGGCTTACCGGTCGGGTCAAGATCGGGAACATTCAGCTGTGGATCACGCGAGCATAATATATCCCCCCCCCATTCGGTCATGGAGCGGGATCTGATGCGCCCGCACAGCCATCGGTGTGATGCCCAGAATACCCGGAGTCTGATTTGGTTGATTGATCGGAGCAACTCAGGAAGCGAATTTAAGCGAGTTCCACTGCGCGTAAGTGAGTTTCACTGTTGATACATCCTGGGTGGAACTCATTTGCGCGCAGTGGAACTCGCTTAAATAGCCCACTTCCACTTCCACACTTCTCGTCATTCCTCGGGAGGACGTTACAGGTAAGAAAAAAAGACTCCAATCAAGGCTCATTCAGACACAGGGAATCGAACCCTGAAATGCCTCTGAATATGGGGTATCTCTAATGAAAAGAGGCCGTGTTTCCAACCACACCATATCTGAACACTTCTTATTCTTGTGGCTGGGTTTTATCAGCGCCGAGATTGAACCAAGGTTGAACCTTCCCGTTTGGCGGCGCGGCGCGGGTGAACTCGGAAGCAAATCTGGGGGGTATGTATAAGGCTGGTGTCAGTGCCAAGTCGGTGCCTAGCCCAGCTGCGGAGGCCGACTAGTACGGTCGAGTCCATGACGGCGTCGAGCTCACCCCCGTCGCCGTCGAGCCAGTCGTGTGTCGCCGCATCAATGACATCACCATCGTTCCACCAACTCGCTGATTCCACCACCACCCTCGATGCTGTCAACCCCCCGCTCGCGCGCCCCTCGCCGAAACGGCCCGCTCTCTCCGGCTCCGCGTCCTTCGAGCCCTCCTCAATAGTCTTCTCCGACGCCTCTTACCGACACCAACACTGGAACGCCCCATGATGGACCTGGGTCGCGTCGTCCGCCCCCTCGATTCCCATTGCACGCGCCATCCACTTCCTTCATCCTCGCCTCCCTGTGGCTTTCATTCACCATTCACATCCACTTTCTTCCTTTGCTTTTCGCCCTCTTCTTCTGCAACATGGTGCACCCTTGCCCACCTCCTTTCCGTTGTCCCTTCCTTCCACTCCCTCCTTCCACCGACCCGCGTCTACCCGCCCATGCTGTGACGACGTACAAAAATACTATCACGTATCGATAAGATGTATCGTTAATCACAATACGTGAGTGAGTGGGTTCAGAATCAAAATTGCTCCAGCTACGGTGCTTGACAAGTCCTGATTTGAAGAACCAAAAATCCCAAAGCCTTTTGGGAGTGGATGCGGTTTCTGAGGAACATACACGCCGGGTGTAGGCTTCCACAGAATTTCTGCTGAGGAGTCGGGCACCTAGAAAGTTGATAAGTGAGCCTGCTGGGACCGTAAATATACTGAATGGGTGGTTTCGATCTTTACGAAGACCGGAGAATGAATTCTGTAAAGTAGAGCAAGTACAGGTAACAAGAAGAGAGCTTGAGTTCAAATCCAAAATGAATTTAACTGGTGGATAATACAAATGGGAACTCTGAGGAGAGCTCTGGGTAGACTGGGTAGATTGGGTAGACTGGGTAAACCGGAGGTCATTTTATACATGAAAAATAGGCTTGGCAGTTGAACAATAGAAAAAAATGAGTCAAAAAGACAATAAGCTCCGCAGCGCAGAACAATAAGCTCTCCCAGCTCTATTGTGTCGCTTAGTGATCCGCAGTTCGAGTGCTTCCCGCACTATTGTCTTCCTATTGTGTCGTGAAAAGTACAATAGAGACAATAAGACCTTTTGTCTTGGGCCTGGGTCATGTGCTGGGAAAGGTGTAATTGTCTTTGAACAGTGCCGGATTTGAGGGGTGTGGCTGCAGAGTTATTTTTCTGTATTCATAAACCATGTTGAAGATGGAGGATATTTTTCGTAAGGGTTGAAAATCAATGGTGGCAAGATGGGGCATCTATTTAGGATTTCGAACGAATGAATATGGCTGGAGCGGTTTGAATATTATGTGATTCATGTAAAACCAATTTTTTGGTGTCACAATGCCCGCCCAGCGCATGTACCGCCACGTCACCACGTCACTCCCGCTCATCGCCCCCGCACACCTTGTTCCCTGCCTTTCTTCCTCCGCACCACTCCCGTCTCCATCCTCCTGCGTCTTCGTCTCCTTTACTTCGTTGCTCGCCCCGCCTCCACTTAGTAAGTTACCTCCTCGTCTCCACGGCCCGTCCCTCCTCGCGCTCGCTGCGTCCTTTTCCCCGCCTCTCTACATCTTAATCATTCTGGTGCGCTACCTTCACGCCCCGCCGCTTCACTTCCTGTCGCCATTACCATCCCACCTCGCCGCGCATCCCGTCCCCTTCCGCCGCATCAGGCGTCAGCGCCCACCACCTGCCGTGTCCCGCGCCTCCCGCCCTCCCTCCCTCCACCTAACCCTGCGCGCTCCCAGCCACCACTGCGACCCCTCCGTGCACCCTTGCCCGTCCTGTCCCGTCCCTCCGCACTGGTGCGCGTGTATCGTATCCGCACCGCTCGCTTCCTCCCCCTGCCATGTCCAAGTCCAGGGCCCTCAAATCCCATTCACGCGCGCCCGAATCCCCGCATGTGCAACTCCACGTTCCGGACCTATTTCGATTCAAGGCTCGACTCACCACCCGCGCAAATTCAAGGCTCGCGCCCGCGCCCGTGCGCGGCTGCGTCGTCCCCGGCTCCGGGTCTGGATCTGGATCGAATCTGAATCCCGACTCCTTCAAATTGCGTACAAGCACATCCGAAATCCAAGCCTCGAATCTGAATGCCCGCGCTCGCAAGTGCGCATCCAGGTCTATGTAAATCCTCGCAATCTCAAATCCATCGCATCTCGAATCTTCACGCTCCGCGCTCGCAATTCCGAACCCACGCGCATCACGTCCCGTCTCGACTCCGCATCTGGTCCCAGCCCTTCTCGAATCGGCGCACATCCAGATTCCAGATGCATATCTCCGCGCTCGCAAGTGCACGTCCGAGTCCATGCGCTGTCAAATCCACACGCGCGCAACTCCGAATCCCAGCGCCGTGCTCGCAAACTCAAGTCCCGGCCGATGCGCATCGCCTCCGATGAGCGTGAACGCGAACGAGGACGAACTGGGGTTTTGGTTTAGGATCCCGCGGGATGTGTCGGCTGGGCGGTAGGTGCGAGGTAGGTAGGGAGGGAGCGGAGAGGTGCGGGCGAGCGGGGGGCGGAAGGGCGGAGGGAGGTGCACATATGTATGTAGCGCTGTTATTAGTTTTTGTTAAAAAATGGATTGGTTGAATGTACACCGACTTGGAGTGAGCGGAGTTCTTGGTGTGATAGTACCGCCGCGTTCGATGAGAAAAGAAAATGCCAAAAGAAAAAAACAGCATTGGCCCTTATCCATTCAGACACAAGGATTCGAACCCTGGACTGCCTCTTAATTCTCCCTAAACTATGTCACGCAATAGAAGGCTGTGTTCCCACTACACCATGTCTGACTTATTTCTTGGAACATCTGGAGAGATTTATCAGCTTGTTTGAGTATTAGTGTTTGAATAATTGTAGACAGAGCGGGGCTCTTGTTTTCAGATATTCGAGGCGCGAGTGGGAATGTTCGACTTGAAGCTTCGATGATAATTTGATTTCGAAGGCGAAAAAAATCAAGTTATACAGATCCCATTGAGACACAGGGAGTCGAACTATGAATTGCCTCTCAATTTCGACTCGACAGCAGAATAGGAGGCTGTGTTTCCGTTACACCCTGTCTGATTTCCTCTCTGGTACATCCGGGTGCTTTTATGAGCTCGTTTGATTATTATTAGTGTTTGAATAATTATAGACAGAGCGGGGTTCTCGTTCTTTCTTCGTGCTGTGGACATTCAACCCTCAGCAGCGGGTTCAATCGTACGTTCCGTGCAGTGGTGAGAAAATAAAGTGAGCAACACAAGACGAAAAAAAGACGTCTCTACCCGAATTCAGACACAGGGGATCGAACCCTGGTCTGCCTCTCAATCTCTACTAAATCCTCAAAAATAGGAGACCGTGTTCCCGCTACACCATGTCCGAATCCATTCTCAAAACATCTGGGGAGTATTTATGAGCTCGTTGAGTATTGGCGTTTGAACACTGGTGACTCGATGGGTCTGTGAGCAGTCTACCAAAATCAAGAAAGAGCACCGCAGCCTGCCGCAGCTCTTGATCACGGCTGCCTCTGAAATATGGGTCTATGATATCATGGTCTGGGGCGGTCTCCCAAAAATCGGGCCAGACACGGCCGGAGTGGGTTTCAACCATGCACGTGATCTATGTTCAACCGCTCCTCAAGTTGACTCAGTCCGATTTGCCTTTGATGTAGCGAGGGTGAAGGCGGAAGAGAGGAGACGAGGAGCGAGGACATAGGACAGAGAAGAGGGATATGGGCAGAGAAAGACAAGTAGAGGAGCGAGGGATTTACAGCCGTTTGCAGTACCGAAGGCGCGAACAGAAAATTACTGTTTTGGGCAGATTTTGATCCTCGCGACAGAATTGCCCATAACTCTCTGAGTTCTGCACGGATTGAGCTGAAACATAGCTAGATAATTTGTACTAATTCATACGCAATTAGTGATGGAGAGGGAATTTCAAAAATATCATATTTTGTGTCTTCTGGCAGTTGAGGCTCGCATCGGCGTAAATTGACGCTAGGTGGTTCAGTTATTGTCCGAATGAGCTGATTTATTAATGCTAGGTACTTGAACATGTAAGAAGCAATGTGACAGAGCCGAAATTACGGATAATTCCCACCTGCCTTGTCCCTGCCCCGTTGGACAAAATGTTTTGTACTGCGAAGACAGATTTCGTTGTAATTACCCGATTTTCAAAGAGGATAAAGTGGTTCCAGGACAGCTATGGGCAATTCTGTCGCGAGGATCAAAATCTGCCCAAAACGGTAATTTTCCGTTCGCACCTTTGGTACTGCAAACGGCTGTAAATGTTCTTTGGTAATAATGGGGGATTTCAGTTGAGGAACACCCCAGACAACATCTGAAGATCATACAAAAGTGATTGTGTGACTTGCTCACAGTATCTCCTCCATTTTTTGAATCAATTTACAGCCAATTGCAGTACCGAAGGCGCGAATCAAAATTTCCTGTTTTGGGACATTTTCGAAGAATTCCCGATATCTCAGCCAGTTCTTCACCGATTCGCTTTAAAATTAGATAAATCTACTCGGCTAATTCACTCGCAATTAGTTATAGAGGGGAATCTGTGAAAATATCATGTATTACCCATTTTCTAATTCCGGGTTGTTTTCGGACCGAAGGCTGTCTAACATGCTGAGAGCATGGCCCAGCAGCATAATATTTTGGTTTGGACAGCGCATTCGGCTTTAGAAACATCTGATAGAGTCAGAGGCATAGATAAATCACTTGCAGTCCCTCCAGATCCCGCGGACACATTTGCCAGTTTCGGCATCAAAACATATTGTAAAGATTACATTTATCCATACATTTCATAGATTTCTGGTTCTATCACTTTGTTCCTCAGTTGAATATGGTGCCCAAACCAAAATATTACGCTGCTGGGACATGCTCTCAGCATGCTAGACGGTGTTCAGTCCGAAAATAGCCTGTAATCAGAAAATGGGTAATACATGATATCTTCACACATCCCTCTCTATCACTAATTGCGGGTGAATTATTCGAGTAGATCTATCTAATTTCCAAGTGACTCGGTGAAGACCTGGCTGAGATATCGGGAATTCTTTGAAATTGTCCCAAAACAGGAAATTTTGATTCGCGCCTTCGGTACTGCAATCGGCTGTAAAGTCTACTGCAACCGTAGTTCAAATTCAGTCCAACCTGGCAGTTGACCCCGGAAACAATACTGAGGTAGTAGAGCGACGGCAGGGTCTGTTGTACAAATACTGTACCGTTCTCTTGAATAGAGCTGGATCCGTTTCGGCGGAGAATACATATGTACTTCATCAAAATGATCAAGACCTTCGTCACAAATTAACGGCCTTCTACGCTGAATCTAGGGATCTGGCTAGAGCCGGACTAGAGTGTCATGAGGAGGGATGGGAATGAAGGAGATAAATAAAAAAGAGTAACCTCTTTGAAGCATTCAGACACAGGGATTCGAACCCCGGACTACCTCCAAAACCTGACCAGGGAATAATATTCCACAATTAGAGGCTGTGTTTCCGACTACACCATGTCTGATTCCCTTTAATCTTCCAGGAGGAGGTTTGTTGGGCTGAGATCCGCGTCTAAACCTGCTCCCGTCTCGCGGCGCGGGCGGGTGGATCCGGAAGCAAATCTGGCGGGTATGTATAAGGCTGGTGTCAGTGCCAGGCCAAGCTGTTGAGGCCTACAAGCACCATCGAGTCCACGGTGGCATCCAGCTCGTCGAGCCAGTCGACCAAGTCGACGTCGAGGGCGCCATCCCCGTATCAATGACGGAACCCGCTCTGTTCCACCGACTCGCTGATTCTGCCACCACTTCGATGCTGACCACGCCCCGCTTGCGCGGTCCCTCGCCCAAACGGCCCGCCCTCTCCGGCTCCACGTCCTTCGAGCCGTCTTCAGCAGTATTCTCCGACGCCTCCGACACCGACAACCCCATACTGCACCCAGCGGCGTCGTCCGCCCTCGAATCCCATCGCCGCACGCGCCATCCACTTTCTCTGTGGGCCCGTACGAGGGTGGCGCGCTCTCACAGCGTCACTTTCCCCGTCCTTCCGCCCCTCTTCATCGTCCATCCGTGTCCTTCCCTCTTTCGTCCGCCACCACACAACTTCCCCCGTCCCGCTCTCATTCCCGCCTCCCGCGCCCGCTTCCTGTCCTTCCTGCTCTCATTCCTCCTCTCCCTCTGCTTAACGCACCCACCCCTCACCCCTCCTTCCCTTCTCCTGATCCTCGTCTGCATCCTTCCCTCCACTTCTCCGCGCCCTGCCGCCCGCGCCTCGCACAACGTGCACCCCGCCCCCAACGCCTCGCCCCAATCCCTTCCACGCACCGGCTCCCAGCTCCCGGCGCCCGGTGCCCACCGCGTATCCCTTTTCCGCCATTCGCCTCCATCCACTTGCCCGGCATGCACTTCCCCCTCCTGCGCCTCTCCCTCCCTCATCCCGTGTGCTATTTCGTCCCGTCCCGCCCCTTCCCTTCCCTCCGCGCTTGCCTGACCGCTCGTGCGCACACGCCGTCGCCATCTTCACAATCAAGTCCGGGACCGTCTCGAATCCTCGCATCCGTAAATGCACATGCAAATCAACATCTTGGGGGCCCGCACATCCAGGCGCAGCGCCACCGTCACCCCGCGTCCCCTCGCCGCTGGCGCGCGCGTCGTCTCTCACTGCCATCATTTACGTCCACGTCCTGCCCTGCATCCGAATCCCCGCGCTCGCAAATTGACATGCAGGCGCTCAAATCCCAGTCCCCAGCTTTGGATCCGGATTCGAATGCCAGTGCCCGCGCGCCAAGTCCACCGTATATCGAATCCTCATCCGCGCGGATGATCGATCGCAAATCACACTCCCCGTGCTCGCAATCCACGTCTCGAATGTCCGCGTCTCGAATCCGATCCCCGCGCTCGGAAAGTCGTCCCAGCCCTTCTCGCCGCGCTCGGAAACTTGGGTCCGAATCCCGGCCCTTCTCAAATCGCCGCGCTCGCAAACTCAAGTTGCGGCTGACGCGCATCGCCTCCGACGAGCACGAGGGCGAACGGGGGTTTTGATTTATGATCCCGCGGGATGTGTGGGTGTGGGTCGGGTGGGTGGCGTTGTGTGGTGGGTGCGGTAGGTGCGGGGTAGGTGCGGGGTAGGTAGGGAGGGAGGGGTGCGGGCGAGCGGGGGGCGGAGGGAGGTGCGAGGTGGGTGCGGAGAGAGGGTGCGAGGTGCAAGTATGTAGCGTTGTTATTAGTTTTTGTTGTGAAATGGATATTGTTTGAATGTACGCCGCGTGAGAGGGGTTCCTGTTCTGAGCAGTCTTTCTTCGTGGTGGGGTGATACCGCCGCGTTCGATATGAATGGAAAATAACAAAATAACAAAAGAAAAGTACTAGCATATTGGAATTCAGACACAGGGATTTGAACCCTGAACTGTCTCTTAAGCACCGAATTAACATATTGTAAGAAGAGACTGTGTTCCAATTACACCATGTCTGAGTTACTTTAAAGTACATCTGGATGGTTTTAGCAGCTGGTTGAGTATTGGTAGGGTTTTGATTGAATGTACTAGTAGAGCCTGAGCAGGGTTCTTGTTTTTCAAATATTCGAATTTCGAGGCGCGAGCGGGAATGTTCGACTTGGAGCTTGAACCTGAGTTCGAAGGCGAGAGAAATGAAACGGAAAAAAAATCACCTGCACTCCCATTCAGACACAGGGATTCAAACCCTGGACTGCCTCTGAAACTGGACTCATGTTGAACATGAAAGGAGGCTGTGTTCCCACTACACCATGTTTGAGTTGCTTCCTATTCCATTTCAGCAGTTTTCTTAGGGTGTTCAAGGGGAATGTAAGAAGCAAGACATAGAGCGGATAGACTATTCAGACAAAAGGATTTGAACCCTGGGCCGCCTCCAAAAGCCCATAAGTATTGTATTTATAATTAGAGGCTACGTTCCCGATAGTCTGACTTCCTTTCTCATGCATCCGGGTAGTTATATGTGGCTCGTTGCCGGGTAAATGAACCTAAAGACAAAAAAGAACTACGATAGAGCTCATTCAGACACAAGGATTCGAACCCTGAGCAGCCTCAGAATACTAATATCATAATACATTGCGAGGCGGTGTTCTCGTTACACCACATCTGAATTCTTTGTTCCAGCCGGATACTTTTATGATCATGTCGTAGGAGGATGCAAGCAAAATAATATAAAGAGAAAGCTTCATCAGACATAGGAATTCGAACCCTGGACTGCCTCTGAAATACATATTTGAGACAATACAAGAGGTCGTGTTCCCGCTACACTATATCTGAATACCTCTGTCCTTCCTAGTTGGGTTGTATTTGCTCCGAGGTTGAACCAAGGTTGAACTTTCGGCGCGGCGCGGGCGGATCCGGAAGCAAATCTGGCGGGTATGTATACGAGTTGGGTCGGTGCCAAGCCAAGCTGTTGAGGCCTGCGAGTCCACCATCGAATCTACGATGGCGTCGAGCTCGTCGAGCCACTAGTCGAGGGTGGGCAACATGCATCGGCTCGACATGCCCCGCATCAATGACGTCACCGCTCGCATCCTCATCCTCCCACCACGACCTACTCTCGATGCTGTCGACACCTCGCTCGCGCGGCCCTCGCCCAAGCGACCTGCCATCTCCGGCTCCGCGTCCTTCGAGCCCTCCAGCACCGTCTTCTCCGACGCGTCTTACCGACACCGGCTTCGGCGCGCACCCCATGATGGACCTGGGTCGCGTCGTCCGCCCTCGAGTCCCATCGCACGCGCCGTCCACTTCCTTCATCCTCGCCTCCCCGTGGCTATCATTCACCACTCATATCCATTCACTTTTCTTTCGTCCTCTCCTTCAGGGTTCTGCACTTTCCACCGCGCAACGTCCACTTGTCGTGTCGTTAACCATCGACATGCCCATGGCCCCATCCTCTCCATCGCCTCTACCCTACATCGTCCGTCATCCCACGTCACGCGTCCATATCCACCCGCATTCCATAATTTCCATTGCCTTTCCTCCTTTTCCTGGTGTGCTCTCCCTTCACACCCCGTCGCTTTACTTCCTCCCGCCCTCTTCATCATCCGTCCGCGTCCGTCTCTCCTCGCCTTCCTGTCCTTCCTCGCCCTCGTCCTCGCCTCTCTTCCTCCGCTTACCGCACACGCCCCTTCTCCTCCCTCCCTCCCTCTCCTCTCCTCCGACCGACCGCTCCCTCCGCCTTCTGTCCCCACCTCGGTCCGTGGTCATGTCTACGTCCGCCATCAACATCGCCATGGCGTCCCGCCGCGCATCCCGTCCGCCGCACCAACGCCCACCACCCGCCCGTGTCCCACCTCCCGCCCGCCCGCCATCCACCCAACCTGCACGCTCCCAGCCGCCGCCGCCACCCCTCCGCGCACCGTTGCCCGTCCTGTCCCGTCCCTCCGCGCTAGTGCGCGCGCGTCGTATCCGCCCGCTGTCTCTCCATCCCCATCCCCATATCCAAGTCCAGAGCCCTCGAATCCCATTCACGCACATCGAATCCTCGCGTTCACAGCTCCAAGTTTCGAATCCCCGTCTATCTCGATTCGAGGCTCGACTCACCGCCCGCGCAAATTCGAGGCTCGCGCCCGCGCGCGGCTGCGTCGTCCGCAGCTCCGGGTCGAATCTGAATCCCGACTTCTCCAAATTCCGTACAAGCATAGCCGAAATCCATGTCTCGAATCTGAATGCCCGCGCTCGCAAACGCACATTCATGTCTAAATCCTTGTGATCTCAAATCCAGTGCATCTCGACTTCGCGCGTCTCGCAACTCCGCATCACGTCCCGTCTTGACTCCGCATCAGTCCCAGCCCTTCTCAAATCGGCGCGCATCCAGATTCCAGATGCATGTCCCCGCGGTCGCAAGTGCAGGTCCGAGTCTCGACTCCACACGCTCGCAAATCCAGGTCCCGGACCTTATCAAATCGTCGCGCTCGCAAACTCAAGTCCCGGCCGACGCACATTGCCTCCGATGAGCACGAGCGCGAACGAGGGCGAGCGGGGGTTTTGATTTGTGATTCCGGGATGTGTGCGTCAGGTTGGGTCGTTCGGCGTTGTTAAGTGCATCGTCCTGTTAGTAGTTTTTTAAAATAGATCCTGTTTGAATCCACTGAGTGAGCAGGGTTCCTGTTCTGGAGCTCCCTTCTAATGTCGCCTCACTCGATGGGAATGGAAAAAATAAAGAAAAAGATGTCTCATTGCTTCAAGTCAGACAGAGGGATTCGAACCCTCGACCACCTCTGAATTTTTCTGCTGCCCCAGAATAAGAGCATGTGTTCCCGTTACACCATGTCCGACTTCCTTTGTGAAAACATCCGGGTGGTTTTATCATCTTGTTTGAGTATTAGCTGGGTTTTGGTTGAATTTAGAGCCTGGGTGAGGGTGGTACGTCCTTTTCTTTTTGAGGTGGATGGCTGGGGGCTTGAATGCAAGACGGTTGCGGGAATGAGAAAATGGAATAGAAGAGAAAAATTCTCAACAGGAATTCAAACACAGGGAGTCGAACCCTGGACTGCCTCTATAAACCCTCCAGATTTACTGAATGATAGAAGGCCGTGTTCCCATTACACTATGTCTGAGTTGCTTCTCAATACATCTGGGGAGTTTTATGAGTCCGTTTGAGTATTAGCTGGCTGGTGTTTGAATGTAGACTCGGGGTGCGGCTGGGTGTTCATTCTTCGACTCGGAGCCACAAGGAGGTATGTTTGGCTTGGGGCTTAAAGGTGGGGCAGGTCGGGTACGGTTGGAGTGAATTTGAACCAGGCAGATGATCCATGTTCAACCTCGTTGAGTCCAGGTTCGACGGGCCTTTTTCTTGGGAACTGGGCTGCAAGAGTCGGGCAGGGGAAGATATTAGAGAAACGGGAGGAGAAGTGAGCAGAGGAACGAGCAGAGAAGCAGTGGAAATCACCCGTAACTGTAGTTCAGTTCGAGTTCATTTTTTGGCCGTTTGCCCCGGAAGAAATTGAGGGACAACGGGTCGCCCGTGAGAATATTAGCACGTTCTGATACTGTCCTGCTTCCGTTTCGGCGCTAGGAATCAAGATAGATTGGGAATGGTACGTACATGTGTTCTTCCTCTGTTCTTCCTCGCGGGTGAGTACTGTGCTTACAGAAATAATTAATGAGTGTGTGGATTTAGACACACTTGCAGTACCTCTCATTGCGGCGCCTGTCCGGGAGCAGACAGGTACGCGTCGGAGTGAATTTCAACTAAGCACGTGATCTGTGTTCAACCTCCAAGTTCGACTCCCCTTCTTTTGTTCAACGTTTCCTTTGACTCGCCTGTTGATTAGGACAGAATAAACAAGGAAGAATAACGAGCGGAAGAAGGCTCTGATTCCGTGTTGAAACGTTGAAAGTTAGCCATCCGAGTACAGTAATTCAAGCATAGTTCAAGCCTCGCAGTCGACCGCTCAAAAGAATAATGAAGTAATAGAGCGACGTAGGGTTTCTATCTTCAAGTATTAGGACGTGCTGGTACCGTCTTCGCTCGAAAGTGATGGTGTGAGGAACGGACCGAAGGATCAAATATCACGTATGTACTTGATCGTAATAACTTCATCGAGCTGGATATACCGACACCGGCGCAGTTGAGAGCATTTGAAACGAGCCGGACTGGATTTTATGAGGGGGGGATGGATGAGGAGAATGAAAAAAAAAATGAGCTTATATTTGACATCCAGCAAAGGGATTCAAGCCCTGGATTGCCTCCGTAAAGCCGAAAATCCCTACGATAAGAGGTGGTGTTAAAACTGAAATACCCTGATGAAAATGCTGCGTGCACTTGGGAGGATCTCCCCCCAAACCACCCTATATATTTCTGGATCAAACGGAGAGCTTGGCGTTCTACTCGCATGTTAACCAGTGAATTCAGAAGCGAGGAAGCGTGCTTACCCCTAGATTTCCAACACCGACTAAGCGGACTTGTTTATTTGCCACACAAAATATTATAAAACATTGGTTGCTAGCTATTAGACTCCACCTCACCTCCCTCCGCACCCTCCGCTCCACACCTAAGTACCTCCTCACAACACCGGCAACTTGAATCACAAATAAAACCCTCATTCGCACTCATTCACCGCCGATTTCAGAAGCACCCAGATATCGATTTGAATTGCGCGTAGACTTGGACGTGGAGGTGCGAGGGCGGACATTCGGATGTGGATTTGCGGGCGCGTGGACGCTGACGTAGATTCGCGATGCGGCGGACTTGCGACCGGGAGTATCTGGCTCTGGACGTGGATTTAAGCTGGCCTGAGAGTGGATGTGAATTTGATGCGAATTGGAGACTAGATTTACGATTATGTAGGGAATCGAGACATGGGCTGGCGAGCGCGTGCTGGATTTGCGAGCGCGAGCGCGGAGATTCACATTCACATTCGCCCCGGATCCGAGTGCGGATGACCCACCTGAGATACACGACAGATCGGGCAGCAGCCAGCGTCTGGATTCGGATTCGGTTGTGGCTTCGGATTTGAAATGGGACTTGAATTCGGGGTTGAGACGGCCCAGCTTGGATTATGACGATAGCAGGGAAAGAGGGACGGCGTGCGCGCACCAGCACCAACATCAGCTACGAGGGGGCGCGGAGCAGTAGTAGCACCCTGGGGGCGCCCAGGAGGGGAACGAGGAGAGAAAGAAGGCCATCTGGGCGGAGGGCGGGTGGAGGCAGGGCTGGCGCCGCCAATTGCGAGGTACCTATGCTTGCACGGGAGAACGGCGGGCGAAGAACGGGAAGACACGGGAAGGGGTGGTGCGGGGCGTCACGTCGATACGATGATGCTGACGGTGGCAAGGCAGCGCCTCAGACTCGGACTCGGACCGGAGAGCGGAGGGACGGCTGCAGGGCATGCAGACGACGATAAAGAGAAGGGGGGATGAAGCGGACTCGATGAAAACAAAAAGAGCGGGATGAGCATGGGGGATGTGTGCGGTAAGAGGAGGAAGAGAGTGAGGAAGGCGAGGGAGAGTGCAGAAGGCGAGGGAGAGTGCAGAAGGCGAGGGAGAGTGCAGAAGGCGAGGGAGAGTGCAGAAGGCGAGGGAGAGTGCGGAAGGACAATGAAGAGAATCAAGAAGAGAAAGGGACGGGAATGGTGGTCAAAAAAATGTACCATCGAATTTTGGTGATGCTATTCCCTTGCATTCTCAATCGCGGTCATTTATTTGAAATGGGCTACATACAATTTCGGAGGGCTCAATATACGCAGAACGAGATACTCTGACCTTGGGGCACGTCAGGTTCAACTTGAAGGTCCTTCACTAATATCCTGATTGTCCGGGCACAACTCCGAATGCAGGGCCGTCCTTTCCAAACATCTTTCTCAAATCATCCACGAGCTCATTGGGCTTTTCGTAGGCAGCAAAGTGCCCACCGCTGTCATGTTCTCCCTCGAATACAATATTGCCCAATCCCCGTGTCCAGCTGTGGGAACGTGAGTAGACGACCGCCAGGGATTGAAAAACATGCCTTCTGGGGAACACTAATAGCTCTCGAGGAAAATGCGACAAGCCGAGCGGGATCGTCGGCTTCGGGTTAACAGAGAACACCTCCATGAAATCGCGGTTCCCCCCAGCTTCAAAGTAGATACGGATCGAAGCCGCTGGGCCGGCTCGCGAAAACCAGAAGATGGATACCCAGGTCAAAACTGCGAGCGAACAGGAGTGAGAAAATATGGAACCATGCAGGTTTCATTGCAATACCTTCGTCGTCATCCCATGGATAATTATCCGTCCAAACCACCAGCTTCTCATATATCCAGGCGAGAAGACCCACAGGCGAGTCGGCCAGGGCATATCCCAGCGTTTGCGGTTGAGTAGAGTGCTGCCCGGAGTACCCGGTGCCCCTGTTGAGGAACAATTGGCTTCGGGCAAGCGCGGCTTGCTCTTTGGGTATTAGCTCCGCATTTGACTCCGAATGGTCAGCAGGAGGAGCTCCCCTGAACTCGACTGTTAGATATAACGAATATAGAGGTGTTTCCGGAACGTACATGACCATATTCGTGTGCCATGCTTTGCTATGCTTCTCGCCGTACACTAGGGCAATCATTCGGGTAATCTGATATTATAAGCTATAGCATTGCTCGCGTATGTTCAAGACAAAATACATACTGGGAAGCCCCAATCCCCTCCTTGCGTGGTATATTCATTGTATCCGAGTGCCAGCATCAGTTTATTTCCGACCTGTGGGTCCGATAAGTAATGCAAGCGTTGAATAAGGAACCAGAACTGCGTACTTCTGCATACTGAGGAATATCGAACCCCTTCGTCGAAGGACCCTCGGAGAAGCCGTACCCAGGAAGACCTAGCACCACGACATGGAAGCTTGGATGGTCTGCCGATTTGGCGGACAACAACGAGACAATCTTGCGCGCCTCAAGGAAGCTTCCCGGCCCTTTGCGATGCTTCACGTTATTACATTGCCCGCAAAGGTAAAGCTATACGCACAACCGTGGACAAAGAGCAGCGGAATGGCGCCGGGGATTTCACTTCGCTGATGTACGTAGTGAATTGTGAGCGCCCCGTGGCCCTCGACAGAAATGGTGCGGGTGAATTGTGGCAGCGCAGCGTTGAGTTCTGCCTCGTGGTGCCGCCAGTCGTATCCGTTGGACCATCGTGCAACGAGCCGCTTAACATCCGCTAGTGGCACGCCATAGTCCCATCCCGCGCCGTCAAGCTCATCGGGGAGAGTGGTGAGCTTGAGCTTCTGATGGAGTCGATCGATGCTGGCGTCTGGAACCGAAATTTTGAAGGGAGATTCAGCCATGACCTAGTAAGTGAGCGGAGGTGGAGCAAGAGAGGCGCGAGTGTGCGAAAGGACGAGAATCCAATCAGGACTTCAGAAGCAATATTTTTGAGTCATGTGAACTGCCGCAAGTCGGCATTACAAATTCCCAAAAGGTATTCAACGTCTACACGAACTGGGGAAACGGCCAGCACGGTGCACAGGTTGAAGAAGAGGAAGTTGCCTCGCCTGTAGGTTCTTGGAAAGGGTCGGTGATCCGTGAATGATAGGGTGATTTTTGGATAGAAAAAGCGGTCGAGTGGTTGAGTAGAATAGATGGTCGAACGGAGGGTATCGGCGGAGTAGCAATACACGTGGGAATGAGTGTGAGGTCGAGTGGCGTGATTCGGGGGTATTGGTGGCTAAAGAGCCCACTGGTGACTTTCAGAAGACTGAGGGCGAGGGAGCACCGAACTCCCTCTGAGCATGAGCCCTGCACTGGCCACTGGGATGGAAGAGGCAGACAAAGCGTAGATTCGTGGTTGTACTCGTGGCTGACATAAGTGATGGACG